TTATTTTATTTATTTTATTTATTTATTTAACTTATATGCCGCCCACTCTACCCAAAGGTCTCTGGGCGGCTTACAACAATTAAAATACAATTAAAATAGAATAAAACGATAAAACGATAAAAGTATATTGTCCTGAGGCAACGTGGCAGCAAGTCCTTGACATTTCTTCATCAGTACAATTCTTGATGAAAACTCATTGGTGGCCAGGAACCCACGTTGTATTTATAGGACGGTAAAATACTCTACATTGATTTGTTGCTTACAATCCAAAAATAAGAACCAAAGGGTGAAAACACGCTCCTGTTCTCTCCCACGGATAAAAGTATATTGTCCTGAGGCAACGTGGCAGCAAGTCCTTGACATTTCTTCATCAGTACAATTCTTGATGAAAACTCATTGGTGGCCAGGAACCCACGTTGTATTTATAGGACGGTAAAATACTCTACATTGATTTGTTGCTTACAATCCAAAAATAAGAACCAAAGGGTGAAAACACGCTCCTGTTCTCTCCCACGGCGGTTGTCTTACAAGTCTGTCACTGAACTCACCTTCCAAACATTGCGTTCCAGGGCTTTTAAGACCAGCGAAGCAGTTCTGTATCGCAGCGTCTCCGAGACATAAGAGGAACTGGACAGCCGAGGGTTTATGAGGTCAGGGTGGTTACAGATCTTCTGTAGCTGCATCAGAACATGAAGGACACTGACAAAATGTCCACTTTTCAGAGCATCCTGGGTTCTGTCCAAGGGGGAAAGAAAGAAAAAAAGAACAGGAGCATAGCAATGTGAAAGTTAAGTTACCGAAACATGTGAAATGTTATGAATCCCTAGAATCGTTGCTTTGTGAAGATGGGCGGTTCCACGAAGCCAATCTTCTTATACTCGCAGCCGAGGTTTCTTTGGAATGGTCTGGACCAAGGCAAAGAGTCGCTTCTCATCATGGTGTTGTCTAGACAATCTTATAAAAAGGTAAAGGTTCCCCTTGACATTTAGTCCAGTCGTGTCCGACTCTAGGGGGCGATGCTCATCCCCGTTTCCAAGCCGTAGAGCCAGTGTTTGTCCATAGACCGTTACTATGGGTCACGTGGCCAGCGCGACTAGACACAGAACGCCGTCGCCTTCCCACCGAGGTGGTACCTATTTATCTACTGGCATTTGCATGCTTTCGAATTGCTAGGTTGGCAGGAGCTGGAACAAGCGACAGGAGCTCACTCCGTTGTGTGGATTCGATCTTACGACTGCTTGGTCTTCTGACCTTGCAACACAGAGGCATCTGCGGTTTAACCTGCAGTGCCACCACATCCTTTAGACAATCTTATAGCTAAGTCTAAACCAGGGTTGGGCAGCCTTGGTTCTTTGGCTGTTTTGGACTTCAACTCCCAGAAGACCCTGCCACCAAGGCCAAAGGTAGGAGGGTTATAGGAGCTGAAATTCAAACGGCTCTTAACCCTAACCCCCTTTTCATATTTTTATGGCATGTATACACACACCAATCTTATTTTTTAAAAAAAGTGGGGGAGGAAGCTGAATTCAAAGTAGATCCAGCCCAGGTGGCCTTGGGCCAGCTGCACAGTCCCAGGGTGGGCCCTAGAGGAAGTGAATCTTATTTTTTTAAAAAAAAGTGGGGGAAGGAAGCTGAATTCAAAGTAGATCCAGCCCGGGTGGCCTTGCGGCAGCTGCACAGTCCCAGGGTGGGCCCTAGAGGAAGGGATGTGTCAACCACTTCTGAGGATTCCCTGCCAGGAAAATTAAGGAAAGGGGGCCACCATACGTCATCACAATTGACTTGACAGAACATGATTATTGTTCCAGACAAATAATAAATGGAAAATGCAGCAGCCAAAAAAACACTCCAGACTTGAAAAAAAACATTCTGCGGTCTTCTGTATCCTCCTCAGATCGCTCAGTATTGGGGAGAACGGGACCTCATTTTGTTGTAAAGATAGGCTCAATGTTGTACAAGTCAGTTCTAGACCCTAAAGCCACATCTTCCAATGACAGCTAAGCCTTTTCCTCCCTAGTTGCGACATGACGGATTAGTTTAAGCACTTCAAATGCAAACACAGGGATTTTCTCTTAACAACAACAACGGCGGGGAAAAAAGCACGCTCTCATACCCTAGCTGCATTATGACATCCTCGTACATCATTTTTTGTCGGTTCGAAAGCCGACACTTGAGTACGTGCTCGTACTTCTTCATCAGCTGCTTCTCGACATCCCTCTTCGATCGGCGCAGAATAAACGGCTGGATCATCTGAAGGGGGGGTGCGGGGAGGGGGAAAAAATAATATCAAAGTTGGCATTCATGCGGCCGTGCACTGAGAAAACCCCAGGGGCAATTCAAAGGCAAAAGCGAGCAGTAACTCACGCGGTGCAACCTGATGACAAGTTTGTGACAGTAATCCTGGTTCTCCTCATTGGCCGCTTTTACTGGGAAATCCAGGTAAGGTTTGGAGATGCCTGGAATCAGGAAGTGCACCATGGTCCATAGTTCCATCAAGGTGTTGTGCAGAGGGGTGTCTATCAGGAGCAGGCGGTGCTGGCTGTGAAGGGTCAGAGATTAGCCGTTCGACATTTTATGAATTAGACCAGACGTTCCCAACCTTGGATCCCCAGATAATCTTGGACTACAACTCCCAGAAATCCTGGCCAGCACAGCTAGGGGTGAAGGCTTTTGGGAGGTGTTGTCTAAGAACGTCTAGGGACCCAAGGTTGGGAACCACTGCTCTTGACTATAGTTCTTGTCTTCCTGGCCTTAGGAAGCAGGCCATAAAATAGGCTTCTGTGAAGGAAGGTGCTTGGTGTTGTTGCTGATGGACCATCCTGATCACTTCTCCCTCTTCCTGTCCTTTTTTTTCCAACCTGTCTTGATGTTCCTCCACCACAGCGGTTCCCAACCTTGGGTCCCCAGATGTTCTTGGATTACAACTCCTAGAAATCCTGGCCAGCACAGCGAGTGGTGAAGGTTTCTGAGAAATTTAGTCCAAGAACATCTAGAGAACCACTGAGTTAGACCACTGTGGCAGGTGTTCAAGCAAAATGAAAACCAACGGCTGAAGCCTACTGCTGTTTGCATAACCTGCTGAGGCTAATTGCTGCTAATCGACAAGTGGGAATCTTGGGTTCGCAATTGGGCCACCAGCAGGCACGTGATGAAGGCATACGTCAGCACCTCATCAATTCACCAGAATTAGCTGTGGCAGGTTATGCCAACCTCATGCAGATACCAGCAGGACTTTGACCAATTAAGTCATGGGGGGAAAGGGGGGGGAGGAGGACACAAGTAAAAGGAACAACCTTGATCAAGACCATTTGAGATCAAGACTATTTGAGATCAAGACTTTTTGCATGGCTGTCTTATCGACATACAGTTTCCTTTCCTATTCATCCCGTTTTCATGCAAAAAAAAAAAGTAACATTCCCAAAGCTGCCCCCCACCCCCCACCCATCCCATGCCTTACGGTTTTGACTTATATAACACTTCCCACCACTACGTCCTTAACCACTGACACAGAAAAGAGAAACCCGGGTCAAACATTTCATCTAGACCCAGCCTTGCAGGTTCGAAATGCTAATCTTACATCTAGAAGGCTGCAGCTTCTGCGTGTTGGTACCCAACATCTTCCCATAAAGAAAGCGATACTTGGATCTGGAAGGCTACTCGCCTGTCGTCTCTCATCCCCACCCTCTTTTCAACCTGGACACAGACGGTTGCCCCAGATTCTAAGATTCTCTCTCATACTATAAGAACCAACGACTTTCAGGTCCTGGTGGGGAAAGCACAGCCCTTCCCCTCCCCCATCTTTTTGGGGACTGGATATCCCAGCATCCCCTCCCATGGGCTATGTTGGCTACGGATGATGGGAATCACAACCCACAGGGAGTGCCTGCAAGCCATCCCATCTCTCTTCGAGCCAAAAAGCCAAACGTTAGGGAATCCCCAAAGCACGACAGTGCAGAAGTCTCAGCTACCTGCGGAGATTGAAAAGTGCCTCCCAGTGCTTCTCGGTCATGTTCTTGATCTGCTGCATCTCGTCCACAATCAGGTATTTCCACCGCATCTTTGTGAACGCCTGGTGGCCTTTGAAGAGCTGTTTGTAGGAGGTGATACACACATGGAAGCTGTTCGGTTCCATCCACTCCTGCGAGGAAGCGGGGGAAAGTGAAGAAAAAGAACAAGGATCTATGGCACCACAGGGTGGACCAGACGTGGTGGACAGAAACAAGATTCCCAGATCCTACAGCCTTATTGAAAGCCAGGGGTTCAACACCAGCAGACCCTCCCCCCCCCAAGGGCTAGCTCGCATAAAAAGGCATGAAGGACTGAACGGAAGAATAGGATTGCCTTGGCCGGAGAAGGGGTAAACAAAGGAATCTTGGGAAATGTCAACTATGATGCCTCTTCTGCCACAGACAACGGTGCCGTCGAGCAAGCGGCCACGGCAGGTGAAAACTGGAGTCCACGGATGGCTCCAGAGTCGGGCTCCAGTGAACTTGCCTGCGTCTCCCTCTTTGTCTCTCACAACAACTCAGGAGAGGGTGGGCTGTGGAAGCTGTAGCATAAACAGGGTGGGTGTGATTTAAATCAAATGTGGGGTTTACACCACGATTTGATTTATTTGCCGCCCATCTAGCCGATCACCCCTCGGGACGAACAAAAAAATATATAAAACATAAACGATGTAATGGCTACCGACACTAAGCAGTACCACCGATAAAAAACTGCAAGATTCGTGGCAATGTCCATAATGGAACATACCCGCATTCCTCTCCTCCTTTATCCACTTGTTCCATCTCCTTGGCTACTCTGAACAGCTCCGGTTTTAAGAGCTTTCTAAATATAGAAAGGGGGCTTTTCTTGATTTAAATTGGGATTTAAATCTGTTTTGATTTTTTTTTTAAATCATGGATTTTCTTCCCTCCTGAGTATAAACAAAGGGAATAAAAAAAAATCTGGCCAAATTTATAGGTCGAAGATAGCTGTGAATGCTGGAAACCATGGTCACAGATAGGCAAACCCATGAGCTGGCAACTGGCTCCTACCTGCTCTTTTGCTACTTTTTCTTTATAGGAGGACCAGCCATCTGGAAACTACGAGGGCAGCCTGCGTTGTCTATTCTTCCCCCAAACACACCTGGGAAGACCATCTCAGCTGACAAACCAGATTCGAACAGACACTTAAATACAGGCGAATTTCTGTTTGGCGAACAGGCAGGCAGACAGTACAATCCCGCATGACGCTGTACCTGTCTTTTCGCTCTCAGTTCGCGCTGGCTACCGATATAGAGCAGGATCTTCAATCCAGGGCACCAGCGCTTCAGTTCCAGCTCCCACTTCAGGATATTACAACTCCGGGCAATGACGAGGTGAGGACCCCAGTCACCTGCGAGGGAACCAGCCATTGGAAAGCTTGAGCGTGGTGCTGAGGAACGGGCCCACAGAGTTTCACACTAAGCAGAGGAATGGAAGAGAGCCACGGGCTTACCCTCGTTGCAGGCCAGATGGGCAAAGAAGGCAATGACCTGCACTGTTTTGCCAAGGCCAGCCTCGTCCGCCAAAATGCCATTGAGGTTCTTCTTGTACAGCTTGGCCAGCCAGTCCAAGCCGATCTTCTGATACTCCCGGAGAGAGCCGTACAAGAGCGGGGGAGTGTTGTATTTCACCTGCGGGAAAACCAAGCAATAAATCTACACGATTTGGCTCTTCTTCTGCCGCACGCCAGCCACTTTGGTACTGATTTAACTCTTACATGCTGGGATCCAAGATGCCAACAGCCACCTTAAGTTGAAGAAACCACATAAAATTAAGACCTACCATGTTAAGTATGCCCTGGCATTGTCTTAGCTCCAGCTGGGAGCCCTGTGCCCTAATTTCACCCACGTATCATGTGCCCTTTCAGTTCTTTGTTTACAAACATGAATCTGCCAGCTTAGAAATACAGTGGTGCCTCGCTTAACGATTACCTCGTTAAACGACGAAACCGCTTGATGATGAAGGTTTTGTGATCGCTTTTGCGATCGCAAAATGATGCTTTAATGGGAAAAAATCGCTTAACCATGAAGAAGAACAGTTAAGTGTACAAATATTTAACAAGAATTCAATAAGTATTATATTTTAAAAACGAAGTGAACATTAAAAGCAACAGAGCACAGCAGTTCAATTTGAAAAACACACACACCCTCTGATGAACAGGAAACCTCACGGCTTGAGGAAAAGCATTTAAAAAGAGTGTTGCACCTAATCCAGGCCCACACCGACGACCCTATTGCTAACCCAGAATTCATCGGCATCCAGGAGCCCACCGAAGTCCGTGAACACCCTACCACTCACTCAAGTTTTGTCTTGCTTTTAACCAAAGTCTATGAGGATGGAGACAGCCATTGTGGTGTAGGAGACGGAGGGCCAAAGGAGGACTCAACTCCCCCCTGATCATGGAAAGTCAACCAGGTGGTAAACCATTACTTGGGCATCTCACGTGCCTCAAAAACCTATTAGCATTGCCTTCATTTGGAAGCAACTCAACAACTCATCACAATGACAAGAAGAGGGCTGGAATTTATTTCTCGAGACATGAGGGTTTTCTGAAATCAGCTACCCGTGGATATTGAAAAGACTCTTAAACTGTCAGTTTGGGGATGATCTGAAATGGATGAGAAGAACTCCATCAACTTTTGTGATTTAACAACTCCCTGCAGGATCCTCCCCTGATTACAAGGGGGAGAAAGGACAAGAAAAAACAAAAGGTTAAAGGCCAACTGATTCGATCTCGCACGCACACCTCGCCGTCAAGCAGGCCACCCTCCATGCAGGACTGTGCGCCACCCGTGAGATGGGAGAACGCTTACCGCGGTGGTGATCCGGGCGCTGCCCTTGGGCAGGAGGGCTTCGGCAGTGGCAGCCACCTCGGCAATGTCCCTCCCGTGTTTCTTGGTAGGAATCGCTCGTTCCGGCCCCTTATACTGATCGATGCTGAGGAGGGAGTCGATCAAGATAAACTCCTTCTGGAGGGTCTCCTTTCCAGCCGCTTGTTCTTCCATCTCTGGCCAAACAAAGGAACCGAACAATGAATTCTGTGCAGGCGATGGTAGCCGCTGATCCTTCACGAATGGACGGCTCTGCTTGTTGATTAAGTCTGGAGCAGCACCACTGCCGAAGACACTTGTGGTGCCTTAAAGGCTAACAGGTTTGATCCGGCGTGAGCGTTCACAGACTGCAGACGCGTCGGGGGAAAGCAGGCTGCAGGCCAGAAAAGCTTCTGCCAATTAAAACCTGGCCTTCTTTAAGGCTTCCCGGTTAGCTTTTGGATTCAATGGATACACTAAAATATCTGAAATCCAGGACCAGCAGCTTCAGAGGAGAACCAGACCAGAAACAGGCAGCAGGCCTAGTTAACTTAGAGATGCCTTCAGGGCACAACGCAAAGCCCTCTTCCGCACAATAGATTCAGACACAGATTTAAACTCCTGTTCAAACCCTGATTCCCCGCAGCTCACAAAGTGGGAGAGACAGACTGGCTAATCAGTTTGTAATCACTCGGGCTTGGTCATCGCTAGCCATGGGGCTCCTGGGGCAGCCCCGAGGAAGCCAACTAGCCCAATGCAACGTCCTTACACCACAGCCTGTGTCTCCCCATCTCTGTCACAGCTCCCACCGCTCTCAAGAAGGGCATGCAATGAAAGATTAAAATTGTGAGACCCGTCTCTGCATAAAGCTGCTGCTTTGACAGACATTACCTAACCCACACCTTGCATTCTAAGGGGGGGAGAGGAACCCCCATCCAGATAATGCAGCTAGGCAATAATGGACAGGACTGGCACATGCGAATGGCACAATGCAATGTCCATCATGTGTGTCACATTGGAAGCACTCTTGGTTGTTTTTAAGGAGCTACGAACCTTCATAGAATAACGAAGTTGGAAGGAGCCTGTAAGGCCACCGAGCCCAACTCCCTACTCGATGCAGGAATCCAAATCAAAGCAGATCTAACAGATATTGCCCAATTACCGTATTTTTCGCACTATAAGACACACTTTTTTTCCACAAAACAGGGAGGTGGAAAGTCTGTGCGTCTTATGGAGCGAAGAAAACAGATTATTTTTTCCTGTTTTCTTCTCCTAAAAATTTGGTGCGTCTTATGGAGAGGTGCATCTTATGGAGCGAAAAATGGGGTATTTTCTTGAATGCCTCCAGCTCTGGAGCGCTCACCACCTCCCGGGCTCATTGCTTCTATTGCCGAACTGCTCCAACAGTTAATAAGTTTTACGAGGGGTTGAAACGTGTGAAAGCAGAACTTTCCCTAAAAAAGTTCTTTTCTAACAGAAGGCTGGCATAGGGGAGAGGGGGCTGACCTTCTTCACTAGAATCATCTTCAGATTTCATTTGGGGCCAGTGAAAATTCTCTGCAAAGGCGCCTTCGTACATTTTCACCAGGTCATCCAAAGGCAGTTCAGCTAAAAACAAAAAGGGAAAAAATTCACTTTGTCACCATCCATTTCTACGTGTCTTTTAAAGGGGGGTGGGGAAGACAGCAGGAACCTTTCAAGAAAAAGACATCCATTTTTTAAAAACAAGAAAAACAACATGTAATATTAAATCACACACGCTGGCAAGAAAAGATTGTAAGGATAAATCAACTGGTTGGAGGCAGACATTTAAAACAGCTAAACATATTTTACTGAAAGCCTTAATGTGATGCTGAAAAGACTTTATTTGATTGTTTAAATCACTTCTACCTCGCCTTTCTACATGTATAGTACATTGCTGTCATCTATCCAAAAAACTACGAAAGTGACACACAATAGCTCAGTGTTTTAAGCACCTGGCTGCGGAACCAGAGGTTGGGGGTTCGATTCCCCCTGTGTGCCTCGTGGGAGAATAGCCAGCCTGGGTAGCCTTGGGCCAGCTGCACGGTTCCAGGACACCCCCAGAAGAAGAAGCAACCACTTCTAAGTATTCTCTACCTGGAAAACCCTGGAAAGGGTCGCCGTTAAGTCAGAATTGACTTGACAGCACATGATGATGATGATGATTATCCAAGAGACTAAGAAAGCACACACTATGTTCTTAAAGCAAGCTATTGCCTTGATTCCATCCCAAAAGAGGATGATGGAAACAATTTCATAAACAATATGACATTTTGATAAGGATCCTGCCCAAGTTAACGTCCAAGGGAAGAATTCCCTTACTTCTTATTAACACTTATGTACTTATTATTAATATAATAATATTTTTTTAAAAAAATCAAAAGTCTTTAACACATACTATCTATGACAGCATCACATATTTCTTATTCATTTTCCTCCACACAGATCTTGTCAATATATTTCGTGGAAGAAAAACAGCACTGTCGCTTTGGAAGGCATTCCGATTTTGGAGCAAACGGCATCTCTTCCTCTGCACCCAATGGAACGAAGATCTCGAATCCTCCACAAGCTCACCCATGAATGGGACTGGACGTGGCAGGATGGACAGCACCTTTTTTGAGGCAAGGCGGGGGTGCCTTCACCCTGCTTCCAGACTGTCTTCCCTCCACCCCCAATTGCACAAGCATTCGGAGGAAAACCAGGTGTGCCTTCTACACACCACCTCTTTCGTCTCCTGCGGAATGGCACCCCAGCCACCCGTCCAAAATGCCAGGACCCTTGAAGAGGGCTCCTCCCTCCCCTGGCCCTATGGGTATTCACAGCTCTATGGGGTAGAACTGCTCATCCAAGCACATCATCAATGAACTGCACGGCTAGAAGGAATCCTATAGATCATCAAGTCCAGCCCCTTTCAAGAAGGCACCACTGGGGAAATGAACCCTCCGAAGCCAGAGACCCATGCAGGGAGCTCCCGGCCTCCACTGAATGCTTTTCATACAAACACACTGAACATTTTTTTCACCCAGGCCACATCCTGACATTCTTAGAAAGCACAGAGGAAACTCGCGAGAATTCATCACCATCCAGTACGAGGCATTCCACCCCCAAAAATACAAACACGCTTCCCCCTTACACACACACACACATTCTCATGGGCGCAGGCCTCATCCATGTCTCTGGGCTCTCCTCACCTTCCTTAGCCAAAGTGGACAACTCTGCTTGGTGATTCACGCTGCCTTCCTTCGCTTCCTGCTCCTCAATCGTTTCCTCCTCGTCTTCAACTGGAACAAGAACAAGAAAGGCATAAAAACGGTTCGAATGCCTCAAAGCATTTGACAGCATGTTGTTTTATGCCACATATACGTGCTTTGTTTTTCATTCTGTCGGGCTGAGGTTTTTCTGCACCAGACAGTCACAGTTCCTTAACCCCGCTTCCACCAGAATGACTCCATTCTGCAGAATCCTGAGATCGAGAGTTTGGTGGGGATCTTTGGAACCCTCTGCGAGGGGCCTCCCGTCCTGTAGCTCCAGGAAGTCGAAGGACGCCATCCAAGTACAGAATCCCAGGATTTTGCAGGCGGAAAGTCAAGGCAATTAAAACAGCATCAGAGCACGGCGGCGGAGGTCCGAATTTCTGCTCTTTGTTTTGGATTTTTTTTTTGAACAGTTGTTCCGTTGTGGTTTTTATAAACTACAGTAAGCCTTCAAAAGCATATAGTTTTAAAAAATGCAGAAAACTGAATTTTTATAAAAGTAATTAAGTACAGACCAGCAAAAGCCTTATGCTAAAGCTAAGAAATGTACAGTGGTGCCCCGCTTAACAACGATAATCCGTTCCAGGAAAATCGCCGTTAAGCGAAATCATTCTAAAGCGAACTTAAAAACCCCATTGAAACGCATTGAAACCCGTTCAATGCGCTCCAATGGGGTAAAAACTCACCGTCCAGCGAAGATCCTCCATACAGCGGCCATTTTCGCTGCCTGGATAGCGAGGAATCCGTCCTTAAGCGCAGTGGGGAGCCATTTTAAGCACCCGGTGGCCATTTTGAAAACCCGACGAGCAGCTGTTTTTGATCGTCATAAAGTGGAAATCGGTTCACTAAGCAGGGAACCGATCGTCGCTAAGCGAAATTCCCCCATTGAGACCATCATTTTGCTATTGCAAAAAAATCATCGTAAAGCGGATTTGTCGTAAAGTGGGGCAATCGTTAAGCGAGGCACCAATGTATTTACTTTATCTGTTTCTAAGCTGACTTCCTCCTAGAGAAGGGTACCACTTGTACTCAACTTTCCTTATTCAAACTGTAACTTATGGGGTAAATCCAGTGCAGTGAATTACACAATTCTAACGGCAAGGAACCATCCAATATTAAATGGTCTACCTTTAGGAGATGATTTCCTTTAAAAAGGACCACCATTTGATGTTGATCTCCTCTTCCCCTTTATTGCTTGTATGGCTCTTCGTTCTACAGAACAACAAGCCATTCTACCCACTCACAATATGACACATGAGATATGACCCAAACAGGCTGATGAGAACTAAGCACGACAAAGGCATTCTGACTGACTGCTATAGAAAGGGGGAGGCTGAGAGGAAGTGGCCATGCCATGGCGTGGTCTGAGCGGAAGCCCTCCACACCCTTCTGTTGCAAACTCCAGCACTGTCTCATGTTACTAGAGAAATAGGAATGTGTGAATGACACTGAATTAAAACACAAGGGAGCCTGAGAGGCCACATGACCGACCTTCCTCATCTGTCAGGGACGTGCTCGCTTTCCTCTTTCGTCCAGATGACCACAGACTCTTAAAAAGAGAGAAAAAATTACAAATACATATTTCCATTCTCACGTAAGCAGCATTCTGAAGTCTTGCTTAGCAGAAGTTATTGTGACACCCACCCCAAAACCGGTAACTCTCAGAACATTCACGTTAATTCTTCCTCGGTTAATTAAAAAAATAACCTCCTTGACATCTCAGGTCAGGTTGAAAGGACCTCTTTGGCTCATTCCATCAAACGGGAAACAGAAATTTGTTGACAACCTTCTTATGCGGCCTCCTGTTTATGGTCTAATGCAGTGGTTCCCAACGTTGGGTCTCCAGATGTTCTTGGACTGCAACTCCCAGAAGCCTTCACCACTAGCTGTGCTGGCCAGGATTTCTGGGAGCTGTAGTCCAAGAACATCTGGGGACCTAAGGTTGGGAACCACTGGCCTAACGAACAGGGCAAAACCACAAGCACATTACACTGTAGAGATCTCCTAGGACGTTGTGCCTGATATATTAATCTCAGCTTCTTCTGAAGGCAGAGAGGTAGCAAATGTCTCCTTCACGAGGACTGAGAAAGTGATCCTTCCTGAAGCTTGAGAGGGTCCTTAGACATTTTAGGCCATTTCTCTAACCCAGGGTACCTGTGACCAAACTCCGCCTGCCATTTTGCTGGCATTCGCTGTGCTGGCCAATGAATCTCAGGCTTACATATGATGGTAGGGAACAGCAAGAATTTTATGAGACTCGTCTGCAAATTCTATATCCATCTCACTCAGACAAAGAAGAAAATTAAGGGCCTCTCAACTCCCCTTTCCTTTAACCTATATCCTGGTTTTCTCCCTCATAGGATTCATGGTGACTTAGGATAATGAAATAAAAAAAACACCACATAGCGCTAATAAACAAAACAAGCTACACTATTGAGGAAACTACCCCGTTAAAGCCAGCACCAAATTAACACAATCTAAAACACAATGAAAGAGATGTATAAAACTGCCTTGAGTCCTAGTCCTAAATAAGGGATGTAAATTAAATAAATGGGGAAAGGGTTCTTATTTGGATTCTTGACAGAGAGAACATGGACCATAAATTGTGCTAGGAGCCAACAAGTGCAGTATCTGGCCACTGAATCATCTTTGTATTGTCTTTGTTATATTCAGTGGAGTCCTACTCATCTAGTGCAATCAGATATTCCCAACAGCAGTAATACAGGCACAAAATCCAGAGTTACCAGCTGGAGAGGTGCGAGAGGCTCTTACCAGATCTGTTTCTTTTTCCAGCATGATGTCTTCAAAATGTCTTGTATCTTTACCTGTAAGAGGGTTAGATTTTTATGCAATGTCCAAGTCACTCAACTGAGTCTGCACAGCTAGCATTCAAACGCACCAGAGACAAGATAAATACATTCAGGAAGAAGTTAACACATTTCCATGCAAGGAGCGGGGCTGAATGGTTTTATGAGAGGCATGAAGGGCTCCCTTGAATATAACACCTATTTAATACATGCACATACTCTGATCCTCATATCTAATTCAACTTTGATTTCTTTCAAAGACTTCTCGGGAGCTTTGAAAACTGACACAGATGAATTCAGATCTTACCTTAAACCACAATTTGGCGTTACACTAAAAAGTTTCAGGATGTGACATATTTTCCCCCCATAACCTGCTCCCCTTACATTTGTTCTCTGAATTTACTTATCGTTACAATAGGACTGCACGATCCACGGAAGATCAGTCGTCCCCCCCCCTGTTATACTAACGGGTTTCAGAATGTGACATATTTTTCTCCCATAACCTGCTCCCCTTACATTTATTCTCTGAATTTACTCATTGTTACAATAGGACTGCACTTTCCGTGGGGGATCAGTGGAAGTATTGAATGCTATACATGGCATGGGTCTCTGGCTCCCTCTAGTAACCAGTTCTGGTAAATACATTCTGGAAATATGTATCAATACGTATTTCTGAAGGTTTTTTACGTATTTCTGAAGTTTTTTTTTATTTAGTATTTTCAGGCAGTGGATAAATAAATCTGTGGATACTGATCCTGCGGGTGGGTGGGTGTTTCTACTGTACAAGCAAACTGTGTTTTATACGAACTGTTTCTGGGAGATAAGCAATGTCTTGCCGCATCAGTATTTGGATAAGAGATAGCTAGGGAGCATCAAATCCCGTGGACGGTAAAACACATGTTTTGGTCTTATCTTCAACATCTTCAGCAAGGGCAAAGTGCGAATCTTGCTGAGAGAGACACTGCCAGTCAAGAGCTGACAATATGGAAACTATTAGGGACACACGAGCATTCAGAAGGGGAAACTAATCTGTTTCCATGGATTTCAGTTTCTTTTTTTAAAGACTGCAGCCAAGTTGAAGTAATAATACACGTGCACCGTAAAAAGCAACCAGATAAGGTGGCTATCAGCTTTGCCACCTGTAACTCCTGTGCAGAATCCAAAAGTCTGTGGCATCCTTCTCATCGGTATACAATAATTACGTTGTGGTCTCGTTTGCAAGCAGCGACACAGAGCGACAATGAATTACCTCTCCTTGAGCGCCTCTTTAGGTTTAAGGCTTTCCTCCTTTTCTCTTGAAATTCAATCTGTAGCTTTATTTCCACAACCTACAGAACATAACAAGAATCAAAGAAGATATGATCTGGGGAGACAGAGAAGCGATTGGTGAGCCACAGTGGAAGGATCTCATTTTGGAAGGAGAAATCATGTTAATGCCAAATGACTGATGTCCTGCTATCAGGGTTATCCCAAAACTTCTGTCTGCATTAAACAAATCAGGGATCATTACATGTGGCCCTCCAGATGTTCCTGCCATACCCATCATCCCTCCCTACTGGCTAGCCTTATATGGTTGATGGCACTTGTAGCTCAACATCTAGAGGGTCACGTGTTCCTCATCTCTGCTTTAGCATGTCCTCAGAAGGAGGCTCCTGGCTTGTTGCTCCTTTCACAAGCCAGAATCTCAAACCATGGCTTATTTTTGGCTTACAAATCATGGTTTGTTCAAAAGCGGCAAACCCATGTTCTGGCAACACAGTGAGCAAACTCTTCCTGGTTGATTTGACCAGCCACAATACCAGGAAGAAACAAAGCAGAGGCAAAAGGACTGAATGGGCCAGCTAGTTCAAATCTGGCCAGGTTTCTCCAAAATTGTGGCTTGGCAATCTGCACCAACGCAGCCATCAACCAACATTAAACCATCTTAGAAAGGCCACAGGGAGTGGCTTTGACGCAGGAGCTCTGCGCTACCTTGGTTTCTTCTCTGAAAGAAATCCCGCCCAAGGTCAAGAGAGGAGCCACTTAGCATTGTAGCCTTGCTCAAGGATGGCACCGTGATCCGAGCGCCTGCGAATCAAGAGAAAAAGAGCTCTACCTGTTCAATATTGGACCAGAAATATTCTATTTCCCGTGCAATCGTGGCAGCAATACGCCTGAGTTTGTTCTGTTCCTCCCTCTTGGCCCTGTCTTCGTTCAGCTTCTTTTCTTCGTGGTAGCGAGCCACCGTTCGGACCATCTAAGAAAAGAAAAAGTGAAAGCCATCAAGACAAGAAAAGAGGTGTCTTGCACGTTAGTGCAGTTCTTCAGCCGTTGTTACCTGTATTCTCATACAGCAAGTCTAACTCCTGATCAGACTATCTTCAGTAAGCTGCTACCCATCAAGCATAGCATATTACAGATACCCTCTGTGTTATACTGGATAGAATGATGGACTAGGACTCTGGAGGTTTGGGTCCAAATCCCCATTCAGCCACTGGAAGCTCACTGGGCGAGTGGAACCGGTAAAACTACTCCTTAAATATCTCATTTACCTTGAAAGCCCTATTACGGTCTGACCTGATGGCACAGAACAACAAGAAATCAGATTATAGGTCAAAACACAGCCTAGTAGTGTGAGCTTTGACGGACAGCGACCCCTCTGCTCTGGATGCCATGAATTAAGATGGGGCTATGTAATAATAAAAATTCAGATATCTGGAGAAAAGGGACTCCCAGTCAAGTGTTCCTCTCTCATTTCCAAGGAGGCGCTGCCTATAAACAGATTATTAGGATCAACATGTTCACTAACTCAGCTCCTGCTTTTTTCCCTTTGATAATAAAAGCATACAAAAATATCTTAACTGTTAGTGAACTGTAGGTTAATGTAAACCTTCAGTTAATGCAACTATGAGTTGAGATTTTTCCCTTGGGCTTCTTTGGCCTGGGGCTCTTTAGAATTTGACACTACAAATCCCTGGCCGCTGTTCATGATGGCCAGGATGATAGAAATTGAATTACAAGTCAATCGGATTGCATAAACCAATAGAGGGATGTCACAGACCACCTAAACTAATAGAGGCCATTTCTACTTGAACAGAATGCAAACTAGGCACACAGGAAAAAAAATAAAAATAAAATGTTCCTGTGCCTTTATTAAGCAGCACAAGAGTAATGGTGTGAATTGTTGGCCAAAGACCACAAGTCCTTTTGGATTTATTTTTACGACACAACTGCTAGTTCTGTTTTATTGCTTTTTGCTACAGGCCCCTTGTTTTGTGGCTCATCCAGGAACATGCTGGGAATCAATTTCAGCAGCACTACCATCATCCTTAAAACGTTGTATCCTAATGCAGTGGTCCCCAACTGTGGGCTTCCAGATGTTCTTGGACTTCAACACCCAGAAACCCTGGCCAGCAGAGGTGGTGGCGAAGGCTTCTGGGAGTTGTAGTCTGAGAACCTCTGGAGGCCCAAGGTTGGGGACCACTGTCCTAATGAACGTTCTGCTTTACATGATGGTTTTCCTTAGTAAAGTGACTGTCTAGGAGACAATAAACGGGATGATTTATATTTCATTGCTTCTCAATCGGCTTTTCACAATGCTTTAACCTAACCTTTCTAATACAATGTTATTCATTCTTCTTTAATATTTGAATGAATCGCTGCTTTTAGCTTTTCAAATTGGGTTTTTTTTTCCAGAATGTCAGCTGCCTTGGGTCCTTTTTGAGGACAAAGGCAGGGGAGGGGGAAAACTATTTTAGATAAATCAACAAAGGTAGAAAAGCAGAACTCTTGAATCCAAGGCAGGAGAGCTATCCAACCGGCTCGGGAGAAGGCCAGGGCGCGGCTGTCCACGTTCCAGACCACGCCAAGTGAAGTACAAAAGAAGCGTGCTCAGACCTTCTTCGCCGTGGCCATCTTCCACCTCCTCTCTTGAGCAAAGTCCGTCGCCATCCACTGCATTTCCTCCAGGAGATAATCCCACTGAGATTTGGGCCGAGGAGCCTCTTGAAGTTTGGGAAGCCGTCTCAGGGACCACAAGCCCTCTTTCCTCAGCTCCGCGATTCGCTGATGGACTTGGTTTTCCTTTTGGGAAAGCAAGCGAGACAATCCCACACACACCTGGGTTGACACTCAGTTCTCAGGACGCCCAAGGAACCGTTCCCCACCGACAGGTTAAAATTCTAATTCAGCTATGATGAGCAATGACAGATCCCTCCCTTTTACAAAACACACTCCTAAAAACAAAGCATCCTAGAACAGTGATTTGGTCCCTGTCATTTTTTTGGACTACAATTCCCAGAAGATGGCCAGGATTTCTGTGAGTTGCAGTCCAAGATTATCTGTGGACCCAAGGTTGGGAATCACTGCCCTAGAAAATGACATTTATAGAGCTGCGGCTTAAGAGCAGGGTTTTCATTAAGAGACAGCAAGAGAAGAGAGCAAAGGAAAGGACTGTTCCCACCTCTCTCCAAACATTCGTTCAGAGGCTGGCTTTGATCCTGTACAATAATAATCAACTTGTCCATTGAGTATAGACCCTTAAGCAGCCAAAAACAGCAAGACAGCCAAGAAGCAGGCTTTGAGCGATCCCTATAATTGTGCAAGTCCAAACAATCTTTAGGAGAAATCTGAGGAGGGCAGCTAAATTTGTAGATACAACAGATACGAAAGCAGAGCCATGGAACTTGAGAATGAAGGTGGAAGAGAGTAAGGTTTTTTGAAAAAGAATCAGGTCCACAAGCTTTCCGGACTGCTATAGTCTGGGTCTCTTTAAAGAGGCTTAGAGACTACTAGAGTTTTAGGCAAGAACCCTCTTTCACAAGTGTTTTATTTGACTGTTCGACACATTTTATCTAGATTCACAGGGATATGAACCAAAATAAATGAAACTAGTTGAAATTTCAATACAGAACTGGAAGAGCGAGGGGATGTAAGCTAAATTAAAAGACACAGGCAAGTTAAAAACAAAAAGATACAAAGCATTCAGCACCCACTGTGTACAGACCTCCCAAAAAGCAAGCCGCAGCCCCGAAGACATTCATGGTTTTTTTTTTAAGCCTCTTTTTGAAAGGAGAGGGAATGTGGGATAGAGGCAGGCAACAGGCTGGGACTTGCTTCATCATTCAGAGAGGTTCACCAAAAGAGGAAGGGCAAAGACTGACTTTGGAGTAACAAAGCTATCTTCACACATAAAAGCTGAAAGGCTGGACCCCGGGGCATCCCTAGTTCCCGTCATGGGATGGCAAAATGCGTTTATACATCGAAGACCCTGTTTCGCCTTCAGGCTAAGGAACCGGTTATGGAAGAAACAGAATAACGCTGAGCTTGGTGCCACCCGGGCGAAAAAGAACAGAAACGGCACTATAAAGTGGGAAGCAAAGAATTCAGACTCTGCGAGCAGCAAAACTTATATTTTAGAACAGCGTCTCGTCTTTGCCCGGACGCCGCTCCCTGAAAAGGACGGAGGGAATCTTACCAGCTTAACTTGCTCAGCCAGCTTCTCTTGGGAGCCGTCCTGCGCTGGAACCGCCGCATTCTGAGCTGCGCTCTGGCCTTTTGGTGTCGCGGCCACTGCCAAGCCTGGGGGTTTGGTGGCCACCGGGGAGGATGATTTATTGGTCGTGGGCGAGGTCCGGTTGCTTTGCGCCGGGTAGGGGGTCTGCGGCGTCGTGCTGGAAAGGGCCGCCGGCGGAGTGGAGGAGGGAGGCGGAAGGGTGCTGGCTGGAAGGAGGCGTTGGGAATTCGGGGCGGCGTCCGCCGAGGTGCGCACCAGGGTCACGGCCTAGGAGGGGCACACACCCATTGTGATGCAAGGTTTAACACAGCAAAACAGAAGGCGCCGCGTTGCCAAAACACAAATGACAGCAGCGTGATACAAAATGCATTTGCTAAATTCTGACTTCATCATCATCATCATGGGCTGTCAAGTCAGTTCGGACTTACGATGACCCTTTTCAGGGTTTTCCCAGGTAGAGAATATTCAGATGTGGTTTGATATTCCCTTCTTCTGGGACTGGGCAGCTTGCCCAAGGCCACCCAGGCTGGCTTTTCCCCTCCAGGAGCCACGGGGGGAATTGAACCCCCAACCTCTGGCTCCACAACCAGAGACTTAAACCGCTAAGCGATCAAGCCCAAATGCAGACTGCCTCAAAGGAAGGCCTATTGGTACCGGCTCGGATCAACTTGGGGCCGTATTGACAACAGCACACAAGAGACGCGGCTTCTAAAGATGCCCGTCATGGCAAAATGTAGGTGATGGGATTACTGTATATGGATGGAGGCATGACTAAAGGGTCGCGTGCTCAGCTCACAGCCACATGGATCAGCACCAGGTATCTTCTGATAAAAGCCAGTTCACCTGACATCAGGGGCAGATTTTACCTTCAAAACTGCATGGCAGAAGTAGTGTTATGGCTTCTAAAGGGAAGCGTGTAGAATAATCTTCGAACTGCAGAGCTGGAAGGGACTCAGCCCAGCCCATCAAGGAGTCACAGTGGGGAATCGAACTCCCAAGCTAGTGCTCACAGCCTGAGTTTGATCCCGAAAGGCTCAGGTAGCCGGCTCAAGGCTGCCTTGGTCTCCCATCCTGCCTAGATCAGTAAACCGAGTACAGAGGTGCCTCGCAAGGCGAAATTAATTCGTTCCGCGAGTAGCGCCGTCTTGCGAAATTTTTGTCTTGCAAAAAGTGGTTTCCGATAGGAATGCATTGCAATGCATTCCTATGGGAAACCTCACAAGACGAATGAATTAGTTTCATCTTGCGAGGCGTCGGTCTTGCGGGGAAAAAATCGTCTTGCGAAGCACTGCCATAGAAGAAGCCGTCTTGGGAGTCACCAACACGATTGCAAAACGCTTTCGTCTTGCAAAAATCGTCTTGCGAAGAAGAAGCCGTCTTGGGAGTCACCAACACGATTGCAAAACGCTTTCGTCTTGCGAGTTTTTCGTCCGGTGAGGCGTTTGTCTTGCGAGGCACAAGTATACCTGGCTTGCTGGGGAGCAAAGCATTGTTTGTGCAATTGTGTTATCAAGCGCCCTGGGGACGCTTTAGTGCTATGCGGCAGTATCTAAGTCAAAACAGCAACAGCACCAACCACTTTGCACTTGAGCGGCACTATAAAACAGGGGCTACTCTTTACGAGACCTTTTCCACCAAGGCAACATTCCTAGATGCTCATGTCTGATACTTATTGCTGGCTAAGCCGAAATTGGAAATTTTGCAGAATAAATTCCTTCGGCTCATTCCTCCCCGGGAATTCTTTCGGCTCATCTCAGAGCTTAGTTAGGCTTCCCCTCAATTGCTGCTAAAACTGACCTGGCCCATTCCTCCCCGAGAATTCTTTCGGCTCATCTCAGAGCTGAGTTAGGCTTCCCCTCAAATGCTGCTAAAACTGACCTGGCCTATTTTAGATACTAGCACAGCTTGAACAACCTCTTTGACAAAGTGCTGCTGGCTAGGACCACTACAGTTTGGTGGATGGGGCCACAACAGGGCTCCCAAAAACTAAAAGCCTATAATCTCCCACTGGAAACAAATTATTCAGTCTAGGCCCCCAGGAACTTAGAAACTGGATTCTCAACTTCGAGGCCAGTCAGGACAGGGCTGTTATTGTCGGGTCCCCTTTTTTTGACCTGGTACCCCCAATTTCAGTTGCATCATGCAAAACTCAACTTCCATTGAGTCACAGACTTTTCCTCAGATATGCAGAGGATTTACAGAAGTTAGATTTGGGCAGAGGACCACAGCATCTTTTGAAGGGAGGTATAAAGGAATCCCAGCGGAGGACTCACTATTTATTTCTCTGTCCTCTCTATGAAACCCCCAGAGAAAGATTTTTGTCCCCCATGATTCAGCTGTACCCCAACTGTACTTCAATGGAAATAATAGTAAGACTACTCGCTGAGACACAGCTGTGTATTACGTACTCTGTTGCACAATTTGCTCTGGCAGCTAAGACATTGAGGCTTTGATTTGTTAAGGTTCATAATATGGCATAAATGTTGATCATAGTGACTTTGATATTATACGCTATGCCACCTTTCCCAGAAGGCGGCGTTCATTGACCCCCCTGGGGCATCTTTTGGTTTTAATCGTTTTTATGAAAAGCCTGCCTTTGTAAAAGGCCTAGGGCCAGAGACAATAAAGGTACGATGTGTGATACCTGCTGCTGTGCTAGAGGCTGCGGCTGGGGTGCCGGCGCTGTCATCTGCCCTTGCACGTGCGGGGCTGGCTGGACCTGCGGCTGAAGCGGGGCCGGGACTTGGCCGTGCGACACAGTAGGCGTGACAGAGACGCTTTGCGGCTGGGCCTTCACATGAATCAGAGGCTGGGCGGGAGCCTCCGTGATCTGCGGCGGCTGCTGGGTGAGCTGCAGCGGGGCCGGGAGAGACGTGATGGGGAGGTTGGCGGGTTGCAACCGCCCGGGCAGCTGGGGTGGAGGTGTGTGGAGACTCGCCGCGTTCTGTACCGGAGGCCCTTTGGAAGGGTCATACTGTTGCTGGCTTTGCTTCTGCCCAGTAAGCTGTACCGCTTGAGGGGTGGGAGGCATGCCACCTGCGAAGGAAGGAGAAAAACAAGATGAATTTATATTTTTTTAAAAAAACGTTTTGGGATGGATGGGTGCCTGGGCACATCAAGCCGAGAAATTCCGTACAGTAGGACCCCCTTATCCATGGGAGAAGCACCTGATGATTCACTTATCCATAGTCTGAAAATACAGTGGTGCCCTGCTTGACGATTACCTCGTTAGACGAGGAAATTGCTTAACGATGAAGTTTTTGCGATCGCTTTTGCGATCGCAAAACGATGTTTTAATAGAGAAAAATCGCTTCACGATGATCGGTTCCCTGCTTCAGGAACTGATTTTTTGCTTAACAACAATCAAAACAGCTGATCGTCGGCCTTTCAAAATGCTGCCTGCTTTGTATAATGGCTCCCAGCTGTGTTTTAGGATGGACTCCTCGCTATACAGGCACCGGAAAATGGCCGTCCCATGGAGGATCTTCGCTGGACGCTGGGGTATTTCGCCCACTGGAATGCACTGAACTGGTTTTCAATGCATTTCAATGGGATTTTTACTTTCGCTTGACGACGATTTCGTTCTACAGCGATTTTGCTGGAACAGATTATCCTCGTCAAGCGAGGCACCACTGTATTGAAAATATGAAAAGAAAAAATCCTAGAAATAGATATTTCTAAAGTTGAAATTATCAGAACTGGTCACTAGACAGCACCAAAGACCATGCAACGTACAACATTTGCTAGAGAAATAACATTTGCTATAATCCACATTTTTCAGCATCCGCTGGGGTGGGGGGCTTGGAACCGATCCCCTGTGAATACAGGGGCCCTACTGTACTCACTTTGACACACAACACCGCTTGGTTTTCAAGTCACTAGATAATCACAGCAAGAGATCCAATCAACACCAGTCTTTCATGACACAAAAACTTATGATTTTTTTTTAAAAAATAGCAATAATGAGCCAGTACACAAAGAACGAACAAAGAAACCTTATTTCTAAATGGTTGTCAACAGATCCTACAGTTTTAACACGAAGTTGACAAACAACTGCAGGGAGCAGAAAGGACACAGCACAGAGGTGTACAAACTAATATGGAATGAAATATATACACAGCTACTAACGACCCGGCAGGCTCCAGAGTGAATGATTTTTGCATTGATCTGTGTGACTGTTTTCCATGCCGACATGCACCACGGGAGCACGGAACCCGGCTCCTTGGACACTAACGAGGCATTTCACACCAAATATTAATTTGCAAGGGGGGGGACATGCGAGGTGGAACCAGGGAATGCCACAAATGCTCCGTTCTACAAGGGTTTCTGTGTCCGGCACTGACATCCCCCCCTCTTGCTAAATTAATCTATGGCTGGCATGGGGCGAGACGGTACCTTGTGCCGTTGGCATGAGCTGCTGAAGAGGGACTCCTGAAGCCACGCCTGGATGCTGAAAAACCATCCCATGACGGCCCACTTCAATGCGGGGTCTCTTAGACGAATCTGGTGATATTCAAATTCCATTTACGGCAGGGTGCAGCGGAAGGGGTTTCAGGTTTACAACGTTGACAAAGACACACACACACCCCCCGCGCGCGTTTACAGCTTTGCTATCTAACAAGACTACCGGGCACAACGCAGGATCAGTGCAGAAGACGCTTTCTCGCATTCAACCCTACTGTTAGAAGAGGAGCCCAGGACGTACATCCAATAATCTCATGGCAAACAACAGGAGAAACGCTTTGGCAAAGACCTATTTACGTAAGTGCTTGACAACGGCCGTCCTGGCGTTAAGGATCTAAAGGGATGCGAAGAAAGGGACCATACCTGGCGAAGTAAGTGCTTGCTGTCTTTTAAACGCTTCGATTTCTATGGTATTCACGGCTCCTGTAACCGGAGTCCCTGCATGAACCTGCTAGTATAAAACAAAACAGAACAGTCAAAATTCAGTTAAAGGCTCGGCTCTCCCCAGCTGTCACAAAGTCCTTATCTGAGTCTTTTTTTAATTTTTTTTTTTTAAGCTGCATGAAGAAATGGATAGAAAAATCTGCCCAAGAGCTGCTGGCCTCTTTTAATAACCTTTAAAATGAAGAAATACGGAACAATCCCAACACGCTTACCTCGGTCGGCGAGGATCGCCATTTAAGATAACCTTTGCATCCAGGTTTATACGGAGCATTTAGTGCCCAAATGGTACAGTGGAGGGTATGAGAATAACAAAGATATATATTTAGTCTCTTTCCTAATAAAGTAAATATAGGTTAACAGCTTCGTTTCCCCCCACAGCTCAAAGCCTCCTTCCGCTTGATTCTGTAATGAATCATAACCCTGCACTGAATTGCAAATAGAAATGTCAGTTCAGAGTTTGCAGTGTTATATAACTCCCACCAAAAAACAAGCACGTTTCGTCCCACACCCAGGATACAGGAGCCATCCGGCTTCTGATGTACAGTGGTGCCTCGCTAGACGATGATAATCCGTTCCACTGAAATCGCTGCCTAGCGAAATATCGTCTAGCGAAAAGCAAATCGTCGTCTAGCGAAAATGGCTTTGTGAAACACCACTGTACCTAACTTACTCTACATCCGAAGCCACCCCACTTCTGGTGGATGTAAGAAACAAAGGAGGGACAGGCCGACTACCACGAGACTCCAAGAAGAAACCCGAAAGTGTTTTTGCCTGCAGAGGCCATGGCGGCGGGAAAAATGAGTTTATACCAGCCAAGTACTGCAAGTTCTTACATCTGATGTATGCAAAACTGCTCAATGGTTTAGGGATCTGGCTTCAGAGCCAGAGGTTGGCATTCAATGCCCCACTGGTGCCAGCCTGCGTAGCCTTGGGCAAGCTGCACGGCCGCAGGGCACCCCCGAGATGAAGGGAAGAATGAACCACTCTTGAGGACTCGCTACCTAGAAAACCTTGAGAAGGTTTGCCTTTGTCAGAATTGACTTGGCGGCACAGATTTAGGATTTAGGATAGCGTGCTGGATGTAGGGAGAGATTGTATTTCATACTCGGAGAGAACCACTTCTCTGTGCAAGAAGGTACCATTGATCCTTTAAGAAAAGCACCTTCAGGGAAAAGGTGTCGGGGGTCAAAAGCATTCAGTTTAAATGTAAGAGGTAAGCTTGCGTTCCTCACAGCCCTGTCCTCAAATGCAAGCGAAGTGAAAGGGGGGGGGGTCAAAAGCATTTAGATGTAAGAGGTAAGCTTGCGTCCCTCACAGCCCTGTCCTCAAATGCAAGCGATGGCTTAAATAGGAAAAACAAAAAGGTGCTTATGGATACTATTGAGATTGGGTTTATCTCCGGTGATCACACTCCCCAAGAGTCAAATTTGTTGCAGTGTACACAACCTCAGCCTGGATTCTGTTTCTGGGTCACAGTAAGCTATGCCAAGGACTATTCCACCACCACCACCCCATAACCGAACACCCTCTATAAAGAGTCACTTGCCTGGCCAAAGAAAGAAAAATCTATGAACTAAATCTAGTAGTCTCAACTAGAGCCAACCTATTGAAATGAACAGACACATTAGGCTATTTATTTTATTTATTGCATACATTTATATACCACCCCATTAGTGTGAAGCCCTATTAACAAACAGTTAACAAACAGGTCAGCAATTCCTATAAGCACCACTGATTTGGTAAGTCCACACTATGTGGGGACCACCATTTGGGTTTAACCCTAGATGAACATGGCTAGAAAGGGAAGATTTATAAACGAGGAGGAAAATTATAATTATTACTTTAAGTCTTTCTATCCCACCTTTCATAGAAATTGAGGGGAGTTCCACAATTAAGGTTATCGAAAACAGTAATGCCTACATGATTAGAAATGAGCTAGCAGAACAATTGGTAAGTTCTTACTGGGGCAGAAAAACAGAAGCCTCAAAAGACACTTGCAATAATAGTACAGTACTGAGATGGGCAGAAAGCACCGGTTCGGCAGTTCGTGACGGTTCGTTTCTCAGCCGAACGGGTGTTTGGCAATTCTGAGCCCCGCCTCTGCCAGCTGGCACCCAATCAGAGGCAGCGCCTGAAGCAAGGAGGGAAGTTGGGCGGCTGCCTCTGAGTGGGTGCCGGCCAGCAGAGGCGGAGCTAAGAATGATTGAATGCCCTGTTCGGCTGAGAAACGAACCTGCACGAACCACCGAACTGGTGCTTCGTGCCCATCTCTAGACTGCACCCCTGGCAGCAGGGAAGCCTCTCCGTGGAGGGGATTCTGTAGATACGGTGCCACAGCTGAGAGAACGTTTTCTAGCTTTGAAAGGCTATTGGTGTGTGAAGGTAAGAGACCATTTCTTCCCATATCTGAACCAGAAAAAAAATGGGTATATTTATTGGATTCGTACACTCCTATTCTTCAAACAAACAAAAAAAGAGGGAGGGTTTTAAGATCACAAAATCAAATTGCAAGTACAATAAAAAAACTACGAAACAAATTTGAGGATTAAAAATGAAAACCTAGTTTAAAATGCAGCAAATGAAAGAAAATATAATACTCAAATGATTCAAAGCCCTTTTTTGCAGCTGCTAAAAGCAAACATACCTACAGAGATAGCAGGCAAGGCCCCCCTCTCCGTTGGGAGGGAGTTCCACCATCGCCAGAAAGCCTCTCACATCCTCAACGTGCGTCTCTCTGGGGGCAGTGGAACTGAGAAAAAGGGTTCTCCCCCGATGATCTCAAAGCTCATGTCAGCTTAACAAGTGTGTGAAATAGTCACATGAGCCCAAATGATGTGTGGCTGTTCACAGGCAGTTTCTGTAGGATCCCTATGGCCTCCAAATATATCTAAATTTTCCTAGATGCACTGCCACAGTGTCTGGGGGAGCATACCTGAAACCAGAGCCCAGCGCTGGAAGAATGCCAGTGAGGTCTACCAAAGCTTTTACAACTCATAGATATTTAGAGCCCGTATCGTCTTTCAGCACCTTAGCACTGCATCTGATGACAATGAATTCCACAGTTCAACCATGTGTTGGGTGAAATAATTTCTTTTGTTTATCTTTCATCTAAAAAGGTAAAGGTAAAGGTTCCCCTTGACAATTTTTGTCCAGTCGTGTCCGACTCTAGGGCATGGTGCTCATCCCCATTTCCAAGCCATAGAGCCAGCGTTTTTGTCCGAAGACAATCTTTCCGTGGTCACATGGCCAGTGCGACTTAGACACGGAACGCTGTTACCTTCCCACTGAGGTGGTCCCTATTTATCTACTTGCATTTGCATGCTTTCAAACCGCTATTACCCTCCAAATTCACTGGTATTTGGGTGCAGGGTGGGAAAAGCTTGTTACTGGCTTTCTCAGTATCATATATACTGTAATTTTATAAACCCCTATTTATTCTGTCTTAAATCATGTCCTGACTACTATTTTTATAAACCAAAAAGGCTTCATAACAAATGCTATTAGTCTCCTCTCATGTTGGGAAAAAAAAGAGAGAGACAGGGAAAAATCCCAGGCTTGTAATGGTTTGGAACCCATTTTATATTGGAGTCTCTCTCTTTCAGAACATCAGTCCTTACTAGTAAACATATGTCATGCGCTCAACCTCCAATCCATTATGAGGAGGCTAAAGGCTGCCCATTTCAAGAGGCATACAAAAACATCCTCTCTTAAGATATTCTCCATGTGTGTTCTGTTGATGTATCATTTTGGATTTGCATCTATTGTTTGTTCTTTGTTTTTAATTTAAATTTTGAGATGTTTAATGTTGAGTGGATGGGCTACTATTACATTGTGTTGCTCCTGTAAACTTCTAAAGCAATAAGTCAAGAAAATAAAGGCTCAAACTCATAAAAAGGAAATCACAGTTTATCATTACAGCTGGGTGTGACAAGCCATGTAACTGATTCTGTTTCATTCATCTCACAATTAAAGTGATCAACCGTGTGTGCTTATATATCTGCCAATAAAGCAGATAAATCATTTGATTATGCATTTATAAAACAGAGAACTGTTCACTGTACATATCTTATAAAAAGAGGTGGTGCAGCTTAAAATCTCTACAGTGGGGCCCCGCTAGACGATTACCCCACAAAACGGGTAATCCGCGGGACGATGACTTTTTGCGATCGCTATAGTGATTCGCAAAACGGTTTTTCCTATGGGGGATTTCGCTGGACGATGATTTGGTCCGTGCTCCACAGACTGTTTTTCGCAAGACAACAATTTTACAGCTGATCGGCGCTTTCGTTTTTCGCAAGACAGCGATTTTACAGCTGATCGGCGCTTCGCAAAATGGCTTCCCTACGGGCAATTTTCATTGGATGACAACGAATTTTCCCCATTGGAATGCATCAAACGGATTTCAATGCATTCCTATGGGGAAATGCTTTTCACAAGACAATGTTTTCGCAAAACAGCAATTTCAATGGAACGACAATTAACATCGTTTCGTGGGGCACCACTGTACTTAAAGAAAGCCTTCAGAATGGAGGACAAAAAGAGGAAGAGAGAACAGGATTTTAGAAGGAATTCACAGTTACAGACAGAGCGAGACCCACACTGTTACCACGCAGAACGCACAAGGAGACCAGAGGACAAGCAAACCAAGATGGAGCACATTAAAAGCTGAAGGTTAATGAAATAAGCCAGCAACTTTGAGACAAGTGGTGTTTGGGGGTAGTAACTCCTCTTCCAATGCCCCATTAAACACTCAGACATCTGAAAGTGCAAAAGTTCTCGCATTCCTTTTGTGGCTTTCAGATGAAAAAGAATGGGCTCTCGGGGAAACAAAAGCTCCTGCTTTCAATTTATCAGATCTGAATGAGAATCATCATCATCATCATCATCTGGGATGAAACTAGAAGTTTAGAACCATTAAAAAAAATAAGGTACCTGAAACGGTTGCTGCTGGGTTGAAAAAGCAGCAGAAACATTTGGAGGAAGCTGGGTTGCTATAGCAACAGGAGTACCAGTCTGCCCATCCTTTCCTGTCACAACCTTTACCTGAGAGGGAAAAAAATATTTTTGGGGAAAAAAACAAGAAGGGAAATCATTTTTTTCTTTCGTTTTCGCTCGCTTTAAAAATCGGATCAACACACCCCATGTCGTGTTTTTTTTTTGCGTTCCTCAGTGAAGAGGAGGATGATAAGCAAAGAGCCGCCGCGGCTGTGATGCAGCTTCGAAGCATCTTTTAAATGACCTCCTGCTCTGTCCTTAAATGCAGCAAAACACAGCCGGGGGGGGGGACAGAACAGCAACGATTTAAGTCGTCTGTCGACCGAGAGAAAATTTTAGCGTCGTCGCTTTTCCAGATTTTGTTTTGGCTTTTTGTAACAGACAACAACATTAGCACGACAGACAGTGCACACGGAGAGAAGCCCCGACATTTATTAAGCAATGAGCATAGCGTCCATGCTCTCCCCTCACGCCCGCCCGCACGCACGCCCCCCAATCCTGCCGGATCAGCGCAAGCAGGCAAAGGATGAAGTGCGTTGCTTTAGCAGGAGGTGATGGAAGGAGGGAAGGAGGACAAGAGAGAGAAAGACCACAAAGCACAAAAGAAACAAGGTCCCTCTAAAGAGTCTTTCCCACCCCTCCAAAAAGTTGCATAAACTGGCAAACAACCAAAGCAGATTCTCCCCTTTTTTTGGTGAAGGGGGTGCGCAACATCCTTCTTAAGTGACCTTGGATCAATCTGACTCAAAATAATAAAACCTCCTTGATCAACTGAACTCGAAAGGCGCCTCCTCGCATAAAGGCATCTACAGAACTGGGGCCGAGTTTGTGTTAACCATTCTAGGGAAAGATATAAATATCTGTTTACATTGTGCAAAAAGGGGGGGGGCAAGCATACAGGAGTCCAGTTTAAGTCTTCCGAAAGGAGAGAGAGAAGGAAAAATACAAATAATTCGGAGAGAGAAAAAGGACTCCTTTAAAAGATCTTTTGAGAAACCACCACGCATAGAGAAAAGCACAATTTATGGTGTTTGAGGTCACAAACGCAAAGTTCTGACTCCGAAGTTGCCGGCCACAGAGCCTGGCCAAACGTTAGGAAGAACAACTTTCAGAACACGGCCAAAGAGCCCAAAAAACCCACAGCAACCAGTAAATTACACTGTTTGTGCTTCTGTGCCATCTGATCCAGTCAGATGGACCAAAGAGCCCTTTCGCACCCTTCGAATTAGATTCCAATGGGATTTCCAAGAGATATCAATAAACAAACATTGAACATCTGTCTAAATATTAGACGGTCGCTACCATGTAGAAGCTTTTGCTAGATTGACCAGTTGCATTCATTAGGAACGCTTCTGTAGATTCAGTACTGAGATCAACACACAAATGAACATGTACGAATATTTTGTGTTCTGAATATTCGCTTCAGCTGACGAATACTTGAAAGCATGACTGCTCAGCCAGTCTAAGAAGTCTCCTTACATAAGGCAAGCTCTCCAGTTTAATGGGACCGTACCACTGCTGCCACTTGATACAACCAAGTCATGAAAGCGACCAGTTGTCAGATTAAAGAGCTCATCAAGACAATGAAAACATAAATAAGCTTCCAATGTTTAAAAAAAAAGGAGATCAGTAATATCTCACAAATCCACAAGCTTCGCTCAAGGAGGGGTGCCTTGCAAATCAACAACTCTGTCTCCGACAACTTGTTACGGCTACCTACGATGGCTATTATTTCAATTCTCAAGGCTCAACGTTTGACTAACTGCTACCGTGCATCAGAGACACCACAAATACTGCAGCTGGCTTCCTTTCTAAGAGACCGTTCTTCTTCGCTAAACTGAGTTTCGGTAAGCGCACTGAAAAAGATTTCTGTTGAAACGCAAGGTCTGTCTGGTAAGAGAGCCCATGAGAATTGTAAGCACCATATTTTTTGACAACAGACACTTCAGCTACAACCCGGGCAGGAGGGGTGGATTTTTATGCGCCAATTCACAATATAAAAGGATTCAGACCTTAATGGGTATAGGGGAAGATGCACAGGGATTTTCTCATTCTTTCCCCTGATCTCAGTTAACATTTCCATTTTATCACAATTAACTCTGCAAAGTGAGGTAAGAGGAGGGATGGCCTGAGGTCACTCACTCAGCTTCATCGCTAGCAAGGACAGGATCCGAATTCTCATCCCCTCTGATCAATGGTCATCTGGAACCGCATTCTGACTTTCCAGAAGCAGAAGCATACATAAAATCAGGATGAAATATAACTCAACAGCGTGACTAAATTTAAAACTCAATCCCAAATCAATGACACGCATGCCTGTTGGACATGTCAGTTGCACTCTGCAATTCGGAATGAAAGCTATCGCAGTCCAAGTGTTATCTTACAGCTCTGTAAATCATGCAACCCAACCATAACCACAAGCGCTCCAACATCTATGTGATTTCAACTAAGCTGACTTTCACTGAGGAATCTGGACGACTGCCGAATTAAAACACCAAACAACCTGAATTCATCGCCAATAGATTGTGAACGACCATTAAAACTCAGATTTCTTACCTCGTCGTTGATCACCTCGGACTGCTCCTCCTCTTCCTCCTCCTCCAGGTCCAAGTCATTTTGCCTAAGATACGCCTGCAACGGCACGCAATGCTTCTTCTTAAAAGCTAAGAAGTCCATCATGTTTCCTTGCAGGTGCTGCAGGAAAAACAACTCAATCAAATACTCCTTGAAAGCCTCTTTCAGGGTCTCCATTTGCTTGAGATGGTGGTCCAAGCACTGCTTTCTCATCTGAGCTGCTTCTTGGGTGGCTGGAGGGATCTCCTCGAGCTTTTTCGGCTTCTTCACCAACGCACAGACGGAGGAGGTCAGGGTGGTCAGCCCCTGCGACATACCGCCTCGGGAAGGACTCGTGGGAGGGGGTGGCGATGTCATTCCAAAGGTGGGAGGTCCTCCGACCCCAGCGATCAGCCCACCCGAGGTCCGGTCATACCCCAAAGGTCTGCTCAGCTGCTGTCCTTGAAGCACCTGCTGTTGTTGCTGCATGCCCTGGATGATGTTGCTGATCTGCGGAGGGAGGCTGTTGGTCGTAATGTGGCCAGGGCTGGGTAGAGGTTGGATGTTGGCCCCACTGGCTACCGGGCTTTGGGGTCCCAAGTGGTGGATAGTGCCACCGGTCTGTGAATGAGGCTGAGACAACCTACGTTCTCTGACTGTCGTCGGCGCCGCAGACGTCGAGAGCTGCACCTGAGCTGTTGTGCCTTGAGAAATCTGGGCAATGCCGGAGCCTTCTTGATACACAAAGTGCCCGCCATTGGAAGGGCTTAGGCTGATCTGTCGCACAAGCACGCTGGCGTCCACAAAGCCTCGCGTCGGGCTCTGGCTGCACATCCCCAAGCCGGGCCCAGGGGCGCCAGCCCGAACGTTGGATATGGATTGCACCGGCACTGGGGTAGGTTGCGTGGGGCTCTGAGACTGAACCTGGGGTGCCAGCGGCGATGTGACCTGGATGTAGGAAGGCGACCCATGCTCGAACCTTCTCTGCTGAGGACTGAACTGGAAACTCGGGGAGGTTGGGCTCGGGATTGGCAAGGGGGTAAGGGTGATCTGCTGGTTTCCTGTTGCCACCGGCCCGACATTTTGCAAAGTGATGTTCACGTTCTGTCCGGTGACGGGGCTTCTGCTCATGATGAACTGCTGGATCTGGTAGCCAGGAGACTGCGGTGCAGATGGGCTCACAGAAGGGGCAAAGGAAGGGGCCGGAGACTGGGGTAGATTTGTCTGCTGATCTTCACTCTCGTTGCCTGTGAAGGAGCGTGACCTTTGGAGCTGGCGCTGGGCATTCTGAGATCCACTGCCATGCTGCATTATGGCCTTTTTAAAAATCCGTCTCAAATTCTAAAAAGAAGACAAAGTTCCATTAAGCAAACCATCTTTCTCACATACAAATACACCATCCTCCCCTTTCGTCCCCGAAGCAATTCTCCCTCACCCCATGGTGGCCAGCTCTATCAACAGGACTGTTGCGAGGATAAAAGGGAGAACCACGTATTTGGATTCATCAAATGCAGAACATAAATGCAAGTAGCCATAAGGATAATAAAAACACTGACTCCTTAAAGCTGCTTATTCCCCCAGAAAAGTATTTGCCAAAAAACCAACCATACCAAACAAAACAAGAAGAAAAACAGCAGCTCCTCGAATAAACTTTTTCTTGTTTGCCATAACAGGACAAGTGCATGAAATATCCACCTGCAATGGGCTGCGAAATTTAAGAGGATAACCTAGAGTACCTGCTCCCAGCCTCACGGACATTGCAGGATGGAAAACCACGTCCGCTGCCATAGCGTGAACAACCAAAACAATAGCATTGTGGTACTCATAAAAGGAAGATACTCATTTCGTTATGAGCTCTCGTGGGTCGCAACCTATGGCTTCAAAGACAAGGAGCACAACATCATAACATGGATATAAGTGTTGTTATTGTTCGTCTCCATTGTTTATTAATTGCTCCCATATTTAGCATAGAAAAACACAGGAGATTATGCAAAATATAAAATTAATAAATAAGAGGAATTAGCAATAATAACAATTATAGGGCTAGCAACAATAAAAACAATGGCAACGTCCACACCTCACAGAATCATAGAATGATGGAGTTGGAAGGCCACAGAGTCCAATCCCCTGCCCAAGGCAGGAACCCAAATCAAAGCAGATCTGCCAGGTGGTTGCCTAAATTTCTCTTGAATGCCTCCAATGTTGGAGTGGTCACCACCTCTCGAGGTCATTAGTTCCATTATCATACTGCTCAAACAGTTAGGACGTTTTTCCAGATACCGTATTCAACAAAAATCTGGCTTCCTATAGCTTGGGCTCATGATTATGTGTCCTGCACTCTGAGATGATGGAGAACAGATCCTGCCCTTCCTCTGTAGTACTACCTTTCCAAAGTATTTCAAAAGTGCTGTCCTATCTCCTCTCCATCTTCTTTTCTCCAGGCTAAACATGCCCAGTTCTTTCCACCTTTCTTCCTAAGTCTTGGTTTCCAGATTCCCTGATCGTCCTTGCTGCCCAGTTTTCCAGCATCCTTATTAAACGATGATGTCCAGAACTGGACACAATAATACTCAAGGTGAGTAATCGCTAACCAGTGCCGAATAAAAGGGAAACTAGTACCTCACGGGATTTGCAGACTGTACTTCTCTTAATGCAGCCTAAAATCGTCTTGGGCTTTTTTGCAGCCGCATCGCACCCCGGGCTCACATTCAGCTGGTGATCCGCAACAATTCCAGTATCCTTCTCCCTCGGAGTCTAACTGAGCCCAGCATGGCCCCCATCCCTTTGTGCATTTGTGTGTGTGTGTGGGGGGGAGATGAGCCAATCATGCCCCTATCCCTTGTATCTGTGCCTTTGTGTGTGTGTGTGTGTAGATTTCCCCTTGCCCCGTTCCCCATTAACAAGAGCAGGCTACCAGGAGAAACCCCTAAAACCACAGGCGGTGCTCGTAGTAGCAGCAGCCCCAGCAGCAACGCTTGCAGAGTGAAGACCAAACCCAACAACAACAACAACAACAACAACAACGGAGGGGGTCAGCTCCTTCCCACACAGGCTCAAGACACCCTCCTCCCTGCCTCCCGGACGCAAAAGCAGGGGGAGCGCGTTTGCTTTAATCTTTTATTTTGACCCATCCCGGCCCCCGTTCGGGCGCTCTCCTCCTTTCCCCCCCTCCCCTCAGAAAGGTGCGCGAGACCAAGGGGGGGGGAGAGCGTGGAGGGCAGGGATTGGCTCCCAGGCCTCCCTCCCCTCCCTCCCGCCAAGGCCTCTTCGGGACCCCTCACCTTCTCGCCCGCCTTCTTCCCGGCCTGACGAAGCCCGGAGGCTCCTCGCCGGGCCCGAAGCGCTTCTTTTCTCTCTTCCTTTCGGCCCACTTTCCGAGCCGGGCCCCGGCCTCAACCCATTCGCTCCTGACGGGGAAACTGGCCGAGCCGAAGGGGCGGCGCCTGCGCAGGAAACACACAAACAAGCGCATCCGCCGCGGTACGGAGCCCGCAGGGAGACAAACTAGACCAGCGCGTTCGGAATTTCCTACCACCAACGCTCTGTTAGGCGCATGCGGGAAGAAACCCACCCGCCCCTCCCCTGCCCGGCACATTATAGAGAGGGAACTGCTGAACAGAGAGGACGGTGTATTTCACGCATGCGCAGAAGGGAATAACCTTTTTAGGACATGCGCACTAGAGACATACTGGAAAAAAAGTATTTTATAAATATTTACTGTATTTCTTGGATTGATATCCAAGGGAACTCGAGGCAGTCTGTGTATGTGGCCGGTCCCCTTTTTTCCCCTTCAGCTTCACAACGTCCCTGTGAGGTAGGACACGCTGAGAAACAAAGGACTATCCCAGTCAGAGGCGCAGAAACACTCTATGGAAACAATACCTTGTATAAAACTAGACATTTGGGTGTCCTTATTAAAAGGAACCATTAA